CACCGCAGCCAGCACCAGCAGCAAAGAACTTGGCCTGGGGAAGCACTTCAGCGTTTTCAAAAAATAAACCTGAAGTAATTGCAGTGCTTAGTGGTTTCCAGCTGCTTAAAGAATACAGCCATGTAAAACTCTGGGCTTGTTGTCATGGCTGAAGAAGTGGCAGATGCTCCTTTGTTGGCCTGAGAGCTTCCAGCTCCTGACCCCCTCACCTGGAGGCTGCAGAGAGGGAGGAGGCTGCTGCGGCCAGCAGCTGTCTGAACCCCTGGTAATCAGATAAGCACGGGCATGGGGGATCTGAATGTGCCAGGCTGCCTTTTGCCTTGAGAACTGGCCACGGTAAAGGCCAGGCAACTGCGGGCGATCCGCCATCTCCCCCGCTGCCATTCAGTCCTTCTCTTTTCAGGCAGGGTTGTTTCCAGAGCGCAGAGACGATGCTGTGGAAAGGAGCCGCTTAACCTCCCACAATGCCCTTTTCTGACTTCGTCTTAGCACTGAAGGACAACCCGTACTTTGGGGCTGGGTTTGGCCTTGTCGGGGTGGGCACAGCCCTGGCGTTGGCCCGGAAAGGGGCCCAGTTCGGGCTGGTGGCTTTCAGGCGTCATTACATGATCACCTTGGAGGTGCCCAGCAAGGATAAGAGCTACCACTGGCTGCTGAACTGGATCTCCCACCACGCCAAGCACACGCAGCACCTCAGCGTCGAGACGTCGTACCTGCAGCATGAAAGCGGGCGCGTCAGCACCAAGTTCGACTTTGTCCCCAGCCCTGGGAACCATTTCATCTGGTAAGCGAGGGCAGAGGGAAAGCAGTCTGAGGACTGACCCTCGTCAGAGGGGCCCTGGAGGCACAGAGAGAATCCTGCCTCTTCCTTGGGTCTGGATTAGGGCAGGAGATGGAGAGTAGTGAGAGGAGACTGTGTTCATCAGCATGAAGTGATTTCTTTACCCGAGATGAGTGTTCCCCTTGACGCATGACCCGGGCTGGCTCAGCTGAGTGGTGCTGGACCACTGTCCCCCAGCCCCATCTTCCCGCCCCAGGTATCGCAGGAAGTGGATTCGCATCGAGCGCAACCGGGAGAAGCAGATGATTGATCTGAACACAGGGACCCCTTGGGAGTCCGTCACCTTCACTGCGCTGGGCACTAACCGGGAGATCTTCTTCAACATCCTCCAGGAAGGTCTGTAGGGGAGCTGCGTGGGGCCCTGCTGGGAACAGCCCCACTCCCTGGAGATGCCCAGGGCTCCAGAAGAGATCCTTTTCCCTGCCAACTGTCCCCTCTGCCTCTCTCTGCAGCCCGGGAGCTGGCGCTGCAGCAGCAGGAGGGGAGGACGATCATGTACACGGCCATGGGAGCAGAGTGGCGGCAGTTTGCCTCCCCCCGCCGCCGTCGGCCTCTCAGCTCGGTGGTGCTGGAGGAAGGTGTGTCGGAGAGGCTGGTGCAGGACGTGAAGGAGTTCATCGACAACCCCAAGTGGTACAGCGAGAGAGGCAAGGCTGCGGCGTGGTGTCCTCTGTATCGTGCCCAGCGCTGGTCCTTACCCCCCTGCAGCCATGGCTGTGGGCACCGTCTTGGGCACATCCTGCAAATAAGCAAGCTCGGGTGCTGAGGTCAGGCCTGGCTCTGCAAAGGGACAAACTCCCCTTGGTTTAATCCAGTCCTGGAAACCGTCATAATCCACGGAGTTCACTGCTCCTGCGATGCTGCTGTGGGGTGGGGGATGCCCGTGGTCCTCTCTGGAGACGGCTGCAGAGAGATTTTGTCCTGCTGCTTGCCTTCCCCTGGTGTTTCTTCTATGATGTGCTCAGCACAGCCTTGCTGCTCTGGGGGAGAGCCCAGAGCAACCCCGCTGGTTCCTGAAAGGACGTTGTCTTCCCAGGGATCCCCTACCGAAGAGGCTACCTGCTGTACGGTCCTCCCGGCTGTGGGAAGAGCAGCTTCATGTGAGTGTTGCCAGCTGGCTGACAGCAGTTCTTCTGCCGGCTGCCTGCTCTGGGGCGCAGCAGTCTCTGGTGAGAGGGGGTGGATGAGTTTGGGTTTGAAATGCCCGAGTGGGCTGTGCCTCCTGCACGGTGCCTGGTGTCAGCAGCGTTCACGTTGCTGGCACTGTGACAGGTCAGGGTGACAAGCCCCCTGCGCCCTTGCTTTGCACAGCGGGCTGAGCAGGGGCTCCCAGCCACCCCTGTATCTGATCCCCAGCAGGGGCTCCCAGCCACCCCCGTATCTGATACTCACTAGGGAAAGGTGCCTCTGCCCTCTGCCGTGCTGCTGGGTGGGGAGATCCTGTTCTTGCTCTGCTCCGGGCTTTCTCGCTGTGGTTCACCCCTGTGGTTTGTGTCCTTCCCAGCACAGCTCTGGCTGGGGAGCTGCAGTACAGTATCTGCCTGCTGAGCCTCAGTGACCGCAGCCTCTCCGATGACCGGCTCAATCACCTCCTGAGTGTGGCACCGCAGCAGAGCATCATCCTGCTGGAGGACGTGGACGCTGCCTTCGTCAGCCGGGACCTCGCTGCTGAGAGTGAGCGGTGCCCCTGTTGCGGGGCCAGCGGCGGGAGGGAGGTTTGCCGGCTGTGCTGGGGACAGGTTTGGGCTCCGGGCTGCTCTGCAGCACCAGCAGAGACCAGGAGTGGGCAGCTCTCCGAGGCCTCGGGGCCCAAGCTGGACCTCGCCCCAGGCTGTGTAAAGGGAGATCTGGGTCCTTTGTCCTCAGGCAAAGACACTTCTGCCCTGCTGCTTTCAGCATGAGGGAGGAGGTGGCTTTCCCTGTCATTCTCTTTTTGGGTTCCCAGGGGTGCAGGTGGGCAGGGGAAGCGAATGCTGCCAGCCAGGGAGAGGCAGGGGAGTGTGGGGAGCCTGGCTTAACCCTGAGGTGACAGGGAGCTGGCCCACGGGACTGTGTGGGTTGCATGGCTGATGGATGTGATCTCGGACGCCTCTGTCCCCAGACCCAGCTGTGTACCAAGGCATGGGGCGCCTGACCTTCAGCGGCCTCCTCAACGCGCTGGATGGTGTGGCCTCCACAGAGGCCAGGATTGTCTTCATGACCACCAACTACGTGGACAGGTCAGAGCTGCCCTCTGGAAGGGGAATGGGAGGGTGGCAGAGGAAAACCTTGCTCCGTGTTGATGACCTGTATGGAGGGCCATGTGCATCCTCTGGCGTGAGGACTGGGGGTTCAGGTTGTCCAAATCCTCCCTCGGGATGCAAATCTCACGATTGCTGATTGGGATCCCCTTTGCTGGAGCCTCAGATGCTTCCTTGCCATTCAGACCACGGTTGTGCCCTTCAGGAGAGGTGCCAGCTTCCTGCCCGTGGGCATCTGTGGATTTTGGGGTTGTGGCCGTGCTGTGAGTGACACGCTGGCCCCGGGTGCAGCCCCCTGGGTGGGCAGAGGCAGCTGGGCGCGTGGCACCTGGGCAGGTGCTGCCGGGGCACGCTTGGCTCGCCCCAGACCGGGTGCTCGTGGGATAGAGGTGGGCAGAGCTCTTTCCCCGGACATGCTTGTCCTCCTCCGGAGCCAGCACTTCCCCTGCTCTCTCGCTTGTTTTGGGTTGATTTCTCCCCTCGAGCCCCAAGGGACAAACCTCTTCCCTGCCTTTACCTTCCCGCAGTGCAGAGCACCTTGCAGACAGGAGGCTGGCTCTGCTAGAGTGGGGCGGGGGGGGGCTTCCCGCAGGACCCACCCTGCAGAGATGCTTTCACCAGGTTTTCGGGGCACCCCCGTGTCTCCCGACAGGGCGCTGGCGGTCTCCGAGCAGATCAGCTCTGCGCAGGTGCAGGGCCACTTCATGCTCTACAAGACGGACCCTGAGGGAGCCATTTCAAACATACGCTCCATCCTGCTGTGACCAGGGGCCGGCGTTCCCCTGCTGTTCTGCAAGGACTGTGACAAGGACTTGACCGTCCCGGGGACACCGTGGAGCTGCCCAGCCACGCAGGCCAGCTCTGTTCACCTCTCCTCACCGGGGTCTTGGCTTTTTATTAAAACACACGGAGAGTCAGAGCTCTAGCCTTACAGCAGGGAGAGGGGATCGGCTCTTGCCACTCCCCAGACCTGGGTGCTGCTGCACTGGCCCTGCTCACCGACGCGTGCCTCCGGCTGGGGTTGCTGTAAGCTGCTGAGGCTCCTGGATATGAAACTCCTTCCTTCTGGGGCAGCCTGGGGTGGCCCACAGAGGCATTTCCCTGGGGCAGGACGTTGGGGTGCTGCTCTGCTAAAGAGCTGCTGGCCTTTGAAGGGAGAACGGTCTTCGCTGGTTTGTGAATATCCTCTGTAAAGTGCACAACGTGGCTCTTGGCTCTCTGGTCCCTTTGCCTGTTCATTGCTGGGCCAGAGCCCTCCTAACCAGGGCCTGGCACAGCCAGTACTGCAAATCCAGAGTGTTTCTGAAAAAAGCAGCTCCCAAGAGACAGCTCGTTGTCCCTTGGGCTGCAGGCTGGTGCCACAGCTTGTGCCCTGCCGGGCTGCGACGCCAAGTCGCAGATCTGCTTGGGCATCAGTCCTGGGTGGGCATGCCAGTCCCTCCTGCCAGAGGAGGAGATGTGGGGCCCTGCAGCTACTGCGGGCCTGCGTGTGGGGGCAGATGAGAGGCCTTGGCTCGTTACAGAATACCTTCCCAAGAGCTTGATGTTAACCCCAACGTGAATTTCTGCAGCCAAGCCAGGCCAGTGCGAGGTGCAGAAATCCCTGTTGGAGGTGCCTACTCCTCTCCTTCCAGCAGGAGAGGCCCTGTGTGGCTGAAGGACGGATTTGGCCTGCTGCTGGCAGTCTCGCAGCCTTCTTCCTGTCGCCAGGCTTCCTCCCTGCCAGGAACAAAAGTGCTGGATGGGCTGGTAGAGCCACAGGTGCCTGAGATGCAATCGAGAAGCAGGCAGGTTCTGCATCTCACTCCCAGCACCGTGGAGCCAGGGGTCAGGTCAGCCAGCCCCGTGTTCATGTCCTCACTTCGGGGGCTGCATCACCTTGGCAGGGCTGGGGGAGCTGGTTCCAGGCCCAAGCCAAACTGCTGGGTCGCTGCTGAGCCCTCCTCTGGGCTCTGCCCTGCAGGGCCACAGGTGAAGCTGAGAGCACAGGGGGATACGAAGGGCCCCAGCCGCTGCCACCCGGCTGCACTCCAGCACCAACGGGCGCTGCTTTGATGCCACCCCAGACTAGCAGAAACGTTTCTGCAAGCGGAGGGTTGATCCTGTGGCCACAGCGGGGTTCTCCAGTGACTCGGGGAAGCTCCCAGAGCGGGGTGCTGCTGTTGGCATCTCAAACCCCGTGTTCGTCCATCCCGCAGAGGCTGACGGCTCGGATCCAGCCTGGTCTCACAAAGCTGGGGGTCAAAACTGGCCAGTGAGTGGCTGGCGAATGCCTCGCAGCAGTTTGGGAGGATGGGGAGGGGGTGAGGGAGAGCCAGAGGGGACGTGGACCCCCACCCCGATGCCACCACACGACAGGACAGGTAACATCTGTCACTCTGCTTGCTTTTAATAGTGTTACTGCTACAGATTCTGCCAGTACCCTTCTGCCCGCGCCGGGCGGTTTTGCCAGTGAAGCCTCACAACAGCCCTGTGAGGTAGGTGGGTGACACAGGTGGACACCACACGAGGAGCCCCATGGCAGGGTGCAGGCTCCGTTCCTCCCTTCCAACCCAGAGGTTTGTTTTGTTTAACCCAAATTCATTTCCACACGCTGTTGCAAAATGTCCTCTGCTCCAGGCTGACAGCAGCGAGTCAGAAAGGTGAGAGCCCTTCCTAAATCCCTACTCGCAGGACAAACCCCTCCCTTCCGACATGTTGGGCATTTGATTGAAGTTACACAAGTCCTCGCTCACTCTGACTTCCATGGCTGAATTCCCATGCTCCAAACACCAGCCACAGCACTTTCC